TTAAATTCAGTTTCAATTTAGTAAAATTCATTTTCAAACCAATGCATTCAATTTCAAATTCTGCACATTCAGATTCAATCTGAGCAATTCAAATTCAGTTCCTGCTGGCACAAAATTTATCCCATATCCCTGGTCTGGATCAGGTTATCTGGAGTTCTCAGTCCAGATGAGATCTTCAGCTCAGTTTCATCTTCAAACTTCTGGATTCAATAAATAAAAACAATATTTACAGAWTAAAGTTTCTAACCTGCATTTCTCTACATTTTATACCGTTTAGCCTTTTAGACGTTAGAAGACGCGTTACGTTTATCAGAGCTCCTGAGGTGGACCCTGTTTGTTATTCTTCTGGACCAGAACCAGAACACATGGGAACACTCAGCTGCTGGTCCTCAGCTGACCTCGCCCAGTCTCTGTGTGTTCCTGAGCTGCTGTGGAAACCCGCCCGCCGCCAGCAGCTCGTAGATTTCTGCACACAAAGGAGGCCGGGGCCTCGGTGACACCGCGCCTCATTGAAACCATTTAAAACTGGTCTCCAGGCTACAAAAACCTGGTCTACAAAAAAAGGCCGGGGCAGGCAGCGGCACGCCTCCTCCCACACACATAAAACACACTGAGCTCACCTGTACCGTGACACCTGAGTGGCGTGCGAGGAGGAGGAGGAGGAGACGCCCTCTGCTACAGAACTCATTCAGTTCTGTGGCGCCCGTCAGAACAAACCTGGGGTTCCAAAACTCAGAGCTCTTAAAATTAAATATGTCAGAGGTGCCTGTCAGTCCAAACTCTGGGATTTAACACTCAGGGGACTTATTCCATTTTAAAATATTTTGGAGGAGCCTGTCAGACCAAACTCTGGGCTCTAAAACTCAGAGGAATTATTCCATTCTAAAACATTTTAGATGAGCCTGTCAGACCAAACGCAGGGCTTTAAAACTTAAATAATTTATTCCATTCTAAAACATTTTAGAGGAGCCTGTCAGACCAAACTCTGGGCTCCTAAACTCAGAGGTCTGAGTTCTCAGTGGGTCAGCAGTAGGATTTATGGGCTGTAGCTGGTTCTGGTTGGACCTGCTGTGGTCTTTGGACGGTTTTACACGTGGCAGCAGCAGCCGAAATGTTTAAAAGAACCTAAACATCTTCTCTGCTGACAACAGGGGGTCCGTCTTTACCCGGATCGGTCTGAAGAAGTCCAGGTTGCTCATGAAGTTCTCCTCAGCCTTGTCCAGCCACTCGGGCTGCGCCTCACAGATGATGTCCTGCACCTGAGACACCAGCCGCTGGTCCGAGAAGGTCACAAAGTCCGACAGATTCTGCCTCCCGTCCTTCCTGGGACACATGTCCTTCAGGTGGACCCCTAAGCCTCTGAGGAGGACCTGGGACACAAACCAGGTGGATCATGAGCAGAACCAACATCTATCCTTTAAATCTCAAAACTGTTTCAGAATTATCGCTCCCTCTCTTTTACACTCATTTATTTCTTTTTGATGAAATTTATTTATTTTTGATGAACGCCGCTCACGTGTCGACACTGAGCAGAGCGCCCCCCTCACCTTCTCCAGGTTGACGTTGGCCTCGGTGATCTGCTGAACGGTGAGCCGGGACAGAGAGGCGTTCCTCAGCAGAAAGCTCGATAGAGTCTCATTGTCTCGCAGGAAATGCTTCAACTTGAAGCCTGTGGGAGGAAAAAAACAGACAAACAGCCGCTGAGAGAAACCTGACGCCMCCTAGCTCCTCTAAATCCTCTGCTTTTGTGCTACAACTGTGGACACACTGTCCCCACAGAGGACAGAGGGGACATGTACCCCTCCTCCTCCTCCTCCTCCACACACCTTCAGTCACGGTTACCTGATCATGTTTTAATAGTGCGACGCTTCACTGTCATTCACACTGATCTTTATTTCAGCAATTCACGTATCAAAACGTTCAGCTCATTCATGTGAGGACTGCTATGACTTTAGGCATTTCAGCTGTTTATACTTCTTTAGCTATTTCCCCTTTTAAGCCACTTTTTTACCATTGAAAATGAATGGAGCTGTTTTCAACATCCTTAAAATTCTTTAATATATTTCTAAATATTTACAGCACCTTACACATTTTGTTCTGGTTCTGCTCTTTTTCATGTTCTTGTGATAATTTTAGCTACTTTTTTTTGCTAATTTTAGCTTTTTTCTGCTATTTCAGCTAAAATTTTGCTTCTTTCTGCTATTCTTCTGCTTTTTTGTGTTTTTCGGCTACTTTGCTATTTGTGCTTCATACAGATGCTTTCTGCTATATTCAGCTATTTGCTGAAATTTTAGCTAATGTTTAGCTGCTATTAGCTAAAGTTAGCTTTTCTAAGCTAAATACACATTTTTGTAGCTATTACAATTTTTTTTAACAAAGTTGTGCTTCTTATGCTTCTTTATGCTAATTAAAAAATTGCAGCTACTTTTTAGCTGTTATAGTGAAAAGTTCAGCTGTTTTAGCCTTTTTACTACAAATGATCTCTTTTTGTACTTAAATGCATTTTTCCTGCTAGTTTTACAAATTTTACAACATTTTCTCAATCTGGGTGCGAATTTCAATTTATGCCTGCTACCTTTAGCCTATTTTATGCTAATTTTAGCTATTTTATGCTACTTTAGCTATAGATCTGCTTCTTTCTGCTATTCTTCCGCCTTTTTCTGCTACCTAGTGTTATTTATGCTTCTTACAGACGTTTTCAGCTATATTTAGCTATTTTAGCTCTTAGCTTTTAGCTGTTTTAAAACTAGATTTGGGCTCCTTTTTACTGTTTTTCTGCAAAGTTAGGCATTTTTGCTTCGTTCAGCTTTTCAAAATATAATGTATAAACACTTTTCCTATTAAATATTTTCAGCAGCTTTCAGCTTACGTTTTCAGCATGAAGCATTCACACAAACATTTTAACAGGAAATGCAATTTCTCTAGTTCAAACTGTTCTCAGGTTTGATTGGTGGATGTGACGCCTTGCAGACAGAGCTCAGGGAGCAAAAACCACTGCCTCATCATTTATGATCAGAGAATCAAAAATAAATCAGATGATAAAACTGGATCGTTTTCCAGGAGCTCCATTAGGACATCCCTTTTACCTCAGTGAAGAAGGAAACAGGAAGTGTTGACCTTATTTGGGCATCAGATTTTTTACTTTTGAGTTTAAAAATCAAAGTTCCTCCCCTTCAGAGATGCAAGTCGTCGCACGTCTGTGAAATTTCCACCTTGTGTGAATGAAGCCCCGCTCACACGCCCACCGCTCCCTGCTGCTTTCTTCTCCTCCTGCAGGTCTGAACAGGCGGTCTCCAGCAGGAACTTTTAATCCCGACGTCAGTCAGCCCAGAACTGAAACTTTGGACGTCCTCGTGGTTTCAGGTCTGATCAGAGACAATGGCAGCCGGAGGACAAAAACCCGTCTGACATCAGCAGCTCCCAAAGACGAGATCACTTAGAAGAGCTCTGACTGAGCCAGCTGTAGGTCTCAGTCCAGAACCCAGAGTCCAAACAGCAACAAAGACACTCTGTGTAGGTCTACCTGACCCCAAACTGGACCTTATAGTTTCTGACAGGTCCTACTAATCTCTAATGGGTCCTATGAGTCTCTGATGGGTGCTACTAGTCTCTGATGGGTCCTACTAGTCTCTGATGGGTCCTACCAGTGTCTGATGGGTCCTACCAGTGTCTGATGGGTCCTACCAGTGTCTGATGGGTCCTACTAGTCTCTGATGGGTCCTACTAGTCTCTGATGGGTCCTACTAGTCTCTGATGGGTCCTACTAGTCTCTGATGGGTCCTACTAGTCTCTGATGGGTGCTAGTAGTCTCTGATGGGTCCTACTAGTCTCTGATGGGTCCTACTAGTCTCTGATGGGTCCTACTAGTCTCTGATGGATGCTAGTAGTCTCTGATGGATGCTAGTAGTCTCTGATGGGTCCGACTAGACTCTGACGGGTCTTCCTAGTCTCTGATGGATCTTAACTGAATCTGATGGGTCCTACTAGCCTTTGATGGGTCCTACTAGCCTCTGATGGGTCCTACTAGCCTCTGATGGGTCCTACTAGCCTCTGATGGGTCCTACTAGCCTCTGATGGGTCCTACTAGCCTCTGATGGGTCCTACTAGCCTCTGATGGGTCCTACTGGCATTTGATGGGTCCTACTAGCCTCTGATGGGTCCTACTAGCCTCTGATGGGTCCTACTAGCCTCTGATGGGTCCTTCTAGTCTCTGATGGGTCCTTCTAGTCTCTGATGGGTCCTTCTAGTCTCTGATGGGTCCTTCTAGTCTCTAATAGGTCCTAAAATTCTCTGACGGGTCCTACTAGTCTCTGATGAGTCCCACCTCTCTCTGATGGGTGCTACTAGCCTCTGATTGGTCCTACCTGCATCTAACAGGTCCTACTAGACCTTGACCGTCCTACTAATCTCTGATGGATCCTACTAGTCTCTAATGGGTCCTACTAGCCTCTGACAGGTCCTACTAGACTCTGATGGGTGCTACAATGGGTCCTACCTGCATCTGATAAGTCCTACCTGAATCTGACAGGTCCTACCAGTCTCTGATGGATCCTATCTGCCTTTGACCAGTCCTACCTGGCTCTGTTGGGTCCTACTAGCTCTGAGAAGTCCCATCTAACTTTGACGGGTTCTACCTGAATCTGACAGGTTCTACAAGTCTCTGACCAGTCCCATCTGACTCTGACAGATTCTACTAGTCTCTTGCAGGTCCTACCTGCCTCTGATGGGTCCTTCCTGACTCTGTCGGGTCCTACTAGCCTCTGATGAGTCCTACTAGCATCTGATGAGTCCTACTAGCATCTAATGGATCCTACCAGTCCTAAAGTCAGTCTTAAATTTTCTGATCTTGTCAAAGTCCGACTTGGACTCAAATCAGACTTAGAAGCTCCACAGGGACCATGGTGAGGTTCTAGTTCTGCTGGTCCTCAGTTCTGACCCGGCTCAATAGAACTGTGTTTCTTACTAGAACAGTTTAACCCTGAGTGATAGTCTGGACCACACGTCTGGATTACTTGGCTTCTGCACTCAAGGTTGACAAGATGAGATCACCTGACTGATTAGCAGGTACGCACATGGATGCTCCTCTGATCAGACCCCACAAAGGTTCTGATGATCCGTCAGGGAGGGGGCAGGCAGCCGGCAGGTCGGAGCAGGTGGAGAAAACAAACTCGCCCCCACACCGGGTCAGAACAAAGAGGAACCACATTCTTTTAGTTTAATGAGGCTGAAACTTTTCCACAGAGACTCGACGCTTGACCCGGATCACGCCGCAGTCCTACCTGAGCGAGTGGCCTGCAGCGTCTCCAGGGCCCGGGCCAGTTCCTTGAAGCCCTCCAGGTTCTTATCATTCTGACTGTACAGCAGGATCTTCTTCACGTCCGAAAACAGGCGAGAAATTCTGGTAATTCAAAGACACAGAGACCAGCGTTCAGAGTCCGGGAGGAGAACCGAACCTGGGGCAGGGTCGACCCGTAACACAAAACAGTAAGGTGCGTTATGAGGGCCAAAATTAAGACTACCGCACAACCAATGGTTGCTACATTCTTGAAGTTGGAGGCTATCTCAATTCCTAAGCCAGTTATTGATCTAATCCTACTCCAGTGCTAATGTCAACTTATCCATGCTAGCCGCTAGTCTCCCCAATGCTAACATCAGCTTATCCATGCTAGTTGCTAGCCTCTCCAATGCTAACACCAGCTTATCCATGCTAGTTGCTAGCCTCTCCAATGCTAATTCCAGCTTATCTATGCTAGTGACTAGTCTCTTCAATAATGCCAGCTTATCCATGCTAGMTGCTAGCCTCCCCGATGCTAACGTCAGCTTATCCATGCTAGTTGATAGTCTCTCCACTGTTAACTTCAGCTTATCCATGCTAATCGCTAGCCTCCCCGATGCTAACACCAGCTTATCCATGCTAGTTGATAGTCAATGCTAATTCCAGCTTATCTATGCTAGTCACTAGCCTCTCTGATGCTAACACCAGCTTATCTATGCTAGTCACTAGCCTCTCTGATGCCAACTCAAATAAATAGTCTCCTCATTTGCCAGCACTGGTCTCTCAGTTAGCGGTACCGGCCTGTCATTAACCAGATCAATAGCTGGTTTAGGAATAGATATAGCCTCCTGCTACAAGGATGTAGCTACCACTGGTTGTACAGTAGTCTTAATTTTGGCCCTCACTCCACATCATAAAACAGAACCAAGTCTGGAACCGGACTTTTAGGTTTTGCGTAACAAAAACATAAACACAAACACAGAACAACGTTAGACCCAGACTCAAACAGAACAGAGAGCCCACGTGGACTCGGACTCACATGGAGTCATTGAAGTTTCCGACGACGCCCGGGGACTCGCCCGGCGTGGTGTTCTTGAAGCAGGGGTTGTGGGCGTTGCAGAGGATCCCCTGGACCCAGGGCAGGGTTCCTGCCGACGGCATCGCCTTGTTGGGAAAATGACCTGAGGGCAGAAAAGGACAGAACCCACTGAAGCACCTCTGCAGCCGAGGCTCATGGGAAATGTAGTCCTTCATCTCCATGAGCAGGAGAAGCTGTGATATCAGGAGGTTTTCATGATCCTAAACACAAACATGTTTTTATCTCTCCACGTGGAGCCCTCGTGTTTCTGCCAAGAGCTTTAATCTCAGTTTCAATCTGACAGCTGATCGAGACGTGCCGCCTTTATCTCGCTGCCGCGTTGGAACTGAACATCCTCACCTGGACTCCGAGCTGGAAGACGACCTGCGATCGGCTTGTTATCACCTGCGGAGGAGCGTCGGGTCGCGGRAGCCCCGAGTTAGGACCTTTGACCCCGCAGCTCGAGCTGAGCCAGGACGCTGCTATCAGGAACCTTTAAGACTGCCAACGGGCCCGTTTCTAATCGCAGGCGATTAGATAAGAGGCAGAACCGCAGGTTCTCCGGGGTTCAGAGGTCACGGGACGAAAAGCCGGGCCGAACCAAAATACACGGAGCGCTCAAACGTCTCGATCTATAATCAATTTTAAAAAACTGACCAAGAGATTCATTAGCTTTCTCTTTCACTTCACTTTGCAGATTAATCTTCTGATTTACAGTCCTGCTAAAACAAATGCAACTTTCAGTTCTGAAGTTTTAAATAAACAAATAAATAAATAAAATTGTTCTAAAATGATTAAATGCTTTCTGCTCTGGAGCTTCAGCCGTGTGTTAGCGCCACGCCAAGGTGGGAAGACATCAGTAATAACCTCAGAGGAGCAGCTGAAGGGTCAAAGGTCATTTCCAAACATTTTTGAGAGGAAACATTTAAGACAGCAGACTATTAAGGGATAAATTTTGTGCCAGCAGGAACTGAATTTGAATTGCTCAGATTGAATCTGAATGTGCAGAATTAGATTTTACTAAACTGAAACTGAATTTAAAGTTTTGTATCTGAATTTATCTTTGAAACTGTATTTTGGTTTATTAAAAATTCAGTTTGACTACTTTCACTTTCAGTTCGATAATTCAGATTTTTGTGTCACATCCTGGTCCTTGAGAAAGCCAGGCAGAGTAATCAAACACAGATCCACAGATTTATGTTTCACTTTGGTGAAGTTTCCCTTCTGTATGTAACAGAGTTGATGCAATCCACTGTAAAAGTGACAAAAACACACAAAGTTATTTTATTGCAGTGATTAATTTGACCTATATGTAGAAAATGTTACATTTACATCACATCATGGATCAGTCAGCAGCAGCATCTGATCAATATGTGATCCATGATGTCATCATGTAAATGTAACATTTTCTACATATAGGTCAAATTAATCACTGCAATAAAATAACTTTGTGTGTTTTTGTCACTTTTACAGTGGATTGCATCAACTCTGTTACATCCAGAAGGGAAACTTCACCAAAGTGAAACATAAATCTGTGGATCTGTGTTTGATTACTCTGCCTGGCTTTCTCAAGGACCAGGATGTGACACAAAAATCTGAATTATCGAACTGAAAGTGAAAGTAGTCAAACTGAATTTTTAATAAACCAAAATACTGTTTCAAAGCAAATTAATTCAGATACAAAACTTTAAATTCAGTTTCAATTTAGTAAACTTTATTTTCAAACCAATGCATTCAATTTCAAATTCTGAACATTCAGATTCAATCTGAGCCAGGGATGCACGATATATCGGTATTGGTATCGGTATCGGTCCGATATGTAAAACTGGGCCGATATTAAGGTCCGATATTGATTTCCCACTTTTTATCTTTGTGTTTCTGGTTTGGGGAGGGGAGATGGTTGGTTGAGCAGCATCTGTTTGATCATAATAGTGATATTGACGCTGCACAGCCAGGAATAACTGAAGTAGGGAGCCATGTCAGAGGTCTGGTCATTTATTTACGGTATCAAAAAACGACCCAAGTGTGTTTGTGTGTATTTGTGTAATATAATTTGTGTGTTTGTGTAATATCGGTAAAAATCTGTTATCGGCCATAACAGCTATAATTATATTGGATATCCATACTGGCTGAAATTTTCATATCGATGCATCCCTAATCCGAGCAATTCAAATTCAGTTCCTGCTGGTACAAGATTTATCCCATAGACTATCCAGTCCTGGCAGAGTCACCCAGAAGGTCAGACCGTGCAGTGGTCAGTGCCCTTCTCTCTAAAAACGACGGTAGTCAGCACGGTGGTGGTTTGGGCTCCATGAGTAGACCGTTCAGGTCTTCAGGTCTACAGAGGTTTAAACTCGGATCTCAGAGGATCAGCTTCGGTAATCCTCCGGCTTGTTCTCTGATCTGCGGGAACTTTCTTCGAGTTGCTTCAGCCAGCGGGTTCCGACACGTCGCCGCGTGAAAAAAAATCACCCCAGAAACATTCCTCCAATCGCGGCGGGGCTAACTACCTGTTGGGAGCGTGGGCCCATGTGATGGAGGCGCCTCCGTCACCGGCTGACCCAGAATCCTGCCGCTTCCTGTCGCTTCCTTTCAGCCTGGAAACAACGTGGCCTCGGGCTACAGCTTCATTCAGCCTTTGTTTCGTCTCCTGGCAGCTACAAATCAGCCGTGATTCATCTAAAAACCCTCTTTTCAACAGTCGCAGGTGGGGAAAATAACGATTAAACGCCTGCTGACTCTGCAGGTTTGATTGCTCACGAAGAAAGGATCGGCTTCTGTTTGTTGTTTTGGTTTTAATAAAATAAAAAGAAGCAGAAAATCAAACGAAAATCCATGAAAAAGGCAGAATGAGGTGGTTTTTATGGCACTGAAATTATTAGTTTGACTGAAAGAAGAATAAATGCATAAATTTATAATGCACGGCCACGCCCACATGTTCATCAATGAGCTGCAGCTTTAGCAGAAAAACAGCCCCAAACCATCGTTTCCACCTCTGTGCCTGACAGTGAGCAGGGAGACTTCCTCTGACAGATCTTTGGTCTGGACCATGCTGGTGCAGAGGCTGAGGTTGATTAATTCATTTGTTTGTCAGAACTCTGTCTGGTTGTCGGGTCAGTATGACACAAATCAGATTTGGTTGATTTTCTGTTTCTCTTCATTAAAAATCGTGTTTTTCTGTAAAGTTTTAAAAGTTCCTCTGGGATGGAAGAATAAAACCCATCCATCCACGCCACAGAACCAGCAGGACGTTAAATGATTATTTTCCTCTCGGTTGAGGAGGAAGACGTCGCCTCGGTGGGACGTTTCGGGACCTGGGTCCAGCGGGTCACGGACTCCGGTGTGAACCAGAACACAAAGCTGGGACAGCTGGTCCAGGAACAGTTTCCTGCTGAGCGTCTCCATCATTAAACCCCAGCAGGAGCGCCGCTCAGGTCCAACGTGACTCAAATCTTTCTGACGTTTGTCCTGCATGCAGCTGGACCCGGTAAACCCGGTGAACCTGATGAACCCGAGTCTTTTGGGGGGACTGCTGCTGGGCCTCGTGCTGGACGGCAGCAGAACCGAGGGGTCCTGTGAACACGCTGTTATACAACTCTGTCAGAACTTTATGGAGCCCTGAGCACAGCTGGGTGGACTTCAGCAGCTGCGATAACGACTTTACAGCTGAGAGATAACGAGACGTTAAGATGTGAGGTAAACAAGGCAGGAGGCCTTATCTGATCACGGATCGATCCGGTCCTCCGGGACCGGGACAGAACTCCCAGCATCTGTGGAAACTCACACTCATGCTGCTCGTAGGGAGGGTAGTTCAGACGCACGGTGATGAGGATGAAGAAGATGAAGAGAGGCCAGACGATTTCTACCAGGAGCTGGAGCTGCAACACACACACACACACACACACACACACACACACACCGTCAGAACCGTCCAATCAGAGAGCAGATAAACACAACACATGGATAGATTACACATCAGTCAAATGAAAACACAAAGTTCTGATTGGTCAGAGCTGCTGATCAAAGTATGAAAACAGTGAAGGTAAAGATCCAACAGAACACAACAGAACCCATCAGAACCCATCAGAACCCAATGTAAAATGAGGAAACAGAACAAAGAATGAAAACAGTCAGAGTAAAGACCCAATAGAACCCATCAGATCACAACAGAACCCATCAGAACCCAACACTACAGGAGGACACAGATCAAAGGATGAAAACAGTCAGAGTAAAGATCCAATAGAACCCAACAGAACACAACAGNAGAACCCATCAGAACCCAACACTACAGGAGGACACAGATCAAAGGATGAAAACAGTCAGAGTAAAGATCCAATAGAACCCAACAGAACACAACAGAACCCAGCAGAACCCAACAGAACCCAATGTAACAACAGGAAACAGATCAAAGAATGAAAACAGTCAGAGTAAAGACCCAATAGAACCCATCAGAACCCAATGTAACAGGATGAAACCGATCAAAGGATGAAAACAGTCAGAGTAAAGACCCAATAGAACCCATCAGAACCTAGCAGAACCCAACATTACAGGATGAAACCGATCAAAGGATGAAAACAGTCAGAGTAAAGATCCAATAGAACCCATCAGAACACAACAGAACCCATCAGAACCCAACAGAACCCAATGTAACAGGATGAAACCGATCAAAGGATGAAAACAGTCAGAGTAAAGATCCAATAGAACCCATCAGAAC